ATTAAACTTGTCCCATCTTGGTCCCCACTTTTCCTGACCTCAAAGCTTGGTCCCATCTGTTCCCCCTTCCAAAACAGCACATGTGCAGCCCCCTCCCCCCACCTCAGCCCCTCTTCAGTTCTCTCCTTAGCGTCACTTCTTCAGAGAGCCCTTCTAACCCCTTCATGGTCACATGAGCACATCACTCTGACTTATTTTTATCATGGCACTTACCACGACGTGGTGTTTTCTTTGTTTATTATCTCTCTCCCTGGGCTAGGACAGAATCTCCACGTGAGCAAGAACTGATCCAGCCTTATGACTATAGCTCCAGTATTTAACACTATTTCTAGCATAGATGCTTAATAAAGATTTGTCAGATGAATGGATGAATGGATGGATGGATGAATGGATAGATGGATGGATGGATGGATGGACGGATGGATGGACGGATGGACAGATGGATGAACAAACTACTGTCTAGCCCTTCATAGACTCTCTTAGCAGAGGAGCATTTTCCCAGGGAGCCAATGACATCAAGCCCTAGGCTGCATTTCCCGCATCAGCACAAGTCCCTTCAACTTGACCTAACCTCATCCACTCCACAAGCATGTCCAAGCTCTTTGTCAAGACTGTGGATGGAGATAAATGAGATTTGATCCCAGACACACACTTGATCTTCTGGAGTTTATAGAGTCCAGAAGGGGCAATAAAGCATGCCCACAAAGCATTATGATTCAAGATTAAACGAGCCATAGGCAATGAAATAGGAACACACTAAACATGTTCAAAGGAAGGAGAAATCTTCTTTCATGAGTGAGCAGTGAAGCTTTAACAAACAGAGGCGCCAGCACTGAGACGGAGGCTGAATGCAGATCCAGACCCTCCTTGGTCTCTGAGGCAGGGCATTAACCCAGGCGAGGGCTGAGAGCCAGGATCCCCAGGGCTTGTCCAGACTGGACCAGGCAGGGGGCACAGGAAGGAGGCAGCACAAGATCAGGATGGAGGGAGAGGTTAGAGCCAGACTGTGTGGGTTCGTGGACTCAACATAGGCACGGGAGGGAGAGCCACGAGGGCACTGTGATCCAGGCAGTCAAGTGAGCAGGAGAAGCCCGGTCCCCTGCGCTAGCAGCTGACAGGAGCGGGGGGTGGTTGGTGGAGGGCTCTTGCCTGTAGTCACGAGGGGGCTGACCTCGTTTCTCTCTGAAAAGCTCAGTGAGACGGATTTCTCTTTTCTTTCAAGCAGTGCGAAATACAAACTGGTCGACATGCGTGATTTCTCAACAGCAGGAAATGAAGCAACTGTTTTCGAGATAGCCTCCCGCCTCCCCGGAGGGCCATTCTGCTGTCAAGTTAATCCTGCTGTAGAAAACAGTTCTTTTCCTAAGGGTGCTAGCCTGTCAGGAAAGGGGAGAAGACCTAGAGGCCTGGAGGTGGGGTGGAAATGAGGAATGAACAGGGCTCCCTAGTGTGGTTCATGGACGGTGGGGGCTCTGGTAGAAGGAGGCTGGGGCGGGGATTAAAGCTGGTTCTAGAGGATTCAGGGAGTCTCAAGCAAGGATGCTGGATCCAAAAGAGTTCCCAGCCCCTACATCCTTTCTCTCCATCTTCCTCAGGTCCATGGCGCCTTCCTTAGACTCGGCCACACCTCTTTCTGGGACCTGAGGCTACAGACACATCTTCCAGTACCTTCTCCTGGGCCCATCTCTATAAATATTGCACCACATTGTATGTAAACATTGGCTCACAAGGCTGCACCTGCATAGACCATGAGCCCCTCAAGGTCAAGGGCCTTGTCCTCCTGCCTTGGCGCGGCCAGGACCTGCACCAGCCGGCCGCCTGCAAGCTTGCTGACTGCATGAATGAGGTGGTTGTACCCACACCTTCTGGGTCTACTCCACCTCTGTGGGATCTCTGCCCGTCCTAATGCCTCACGGCTTGCCCGGGGCCTTCTGCCCTTCCCTCCTGAGATGATCTCATCTATTTCCAAGACTTGAAATAGCATGGTTATGCCAATGACTCCCCCACCTGTCTATCTCCAGCCCAGACCTCCCCGCCGAGCTCCAGATGCATATATCCACTGGCCTACTTGCTCTCTCCGCTCAGATGAGGTGTAAACAGCTCATCTTTACTCTGCCCGAAATAGAAGGCCTTACTATAAAAGCCATCCGCACCTCCAGCGTGCCTCACTTTAGAAAATTGCCATAAGCCTCTCCACATGTCCAAGGTGGAACCCCAAGGTGATTCCTGCTTCCTCCTTTTCCCTCAGCTCTTGCAGTCAACTCATCAGTACATTTGGTTTTCCCTCCAGTAAATGTCTAATGTCTGGTGGCTTCTCTCCGTCTCCCTCCCCGCCAGCTAGCCGCGGCCATCAGCTGTCCTGCCGGGATCTCGGGTAGCTATTCATGCTCTCGCCTCTTCCACTCCAGTCCCCCTCCAAACCTGGTCTCTGCAGACAGCAAGAGTGGCTTTGCAAAATGTCCATCCTATGGTGTACCCCCTGTTTAAACTTTCAATGGCATCTGACCACACCGAAGGCCAAACGCCTTCAGGGTTTTCGAGGGCCCCTGACCCAGACCCTTCTGTCTCGTCACCATGCCTCTGCCTCTCTCCCTCAACCAGGCTGGCCTCTTTCACTGTTCTTTTTTTTTTTAATTTTTAATACCCAAGGCTGTTTCTCACCGCCGGGGCCGCGTAGGGTGTTCTCTACTAGATCGCTCTCTCCCTGCTTCTTGACATGGCTAACTCCTCTCTTATCCCTCAGATTCCAGCTTCAGGACACCTCCTCCGAGAGGCCTCCCTGACCATCCAAACTAAACCCCACTCCACACCCACCCAACCTAGCCCCGGATTGGCACCCCACAGGGGCTCAGTGACTGTTCCCGGAAGGGTAGGTGCAGCCTTGCTCCCAGGCCACCTCCTGAGAGCTCCTACTTACCTCCTTCTCTGTTACCCAGGGTTCAGCACCCTCTCCCTTTATTTTCACAATTTCTCAAAACTGCCCACACAAACACCATATTGTAGGGTTTCTTTCTCCTCCCAAATTAGCTGCGGAACCGGACAAAGAGTCCTAGGCTACTAGCTTCCTGGCTGTCTCTTTCAGTTTCAGGGTTTAAAAACTAGTCCTGCAGGGGAACAGTGGGAGAATGGAAATTCACCAGCCGGGAGAAGCATTCGAGTCTGGAGACCAGCTGAGCTCTGACGGTCATGGTCGTGCTTTATAGTTAGCTCCTGACTTCCTTTCTTGGCAAGATCTTACCGGTTATCTAGGACAGTCCCCGTTTCAACTGTTCTGTTCTATTGTCTGACTATGTATCATGAGTTTTCTTACTCTATGGTCACTCTACCCCTCTCCACCTGCTCTCCTCCCCACCCGGGCAGCCTTTCTTAAACCACGCCCCCACTCAAGGGTCGAAAGGCCATGGGTTCAAGTTTCAAGCCCTTGCTTCCCCACACTAAAGTCTGTGTGGCTTTGGGCAAATTCTCTTTCCCGAGACTCAGTTTGCTCATCTGTAAAATAGGAAGAACAGTACCTTCCTCCCAGGTTTTGGCAGGGGGTGACTGGCATGATACACGTCGAGCATTTGGGGCTCATAGGAAGTACCCCCCCCAGGATGGATGGATGGCATGACATTTTCAGCCAAAAGACGCCTGAGCTCTAGTGAACAATTTAGTGCTTTCACCACACTGCGTAGGTGGGTAACTGACATGGTGTTGAGTGACAAGTCTGTTCTCCCAGTTCTCCTGGGGCCTCAGTGGGGAGCCAGGTCATGTCTGTAGGTGCGGAGCTCAGTCTTCCTAATGAGGAATGCACCAGGTTTCAGTCACGGGGAAAGGACAGGTCTTCCCTGGAAACCAGAGCTCAGAAGACTGGCCTCAGGCAGGAGAGAGAAGGCTTCCCAGCTCTTGGGCCCGGTTCTCCCAGGGCCCGGCTTGAGAGCTGCGGTGCATCCCCAGACAGGGGCTGAAAGATGGCTTCTCTATGTGGAACCAGGGGACAGGATGGAGCTTCATTTATCAGGTGCCCGTCTCTCAGGTGCACTTCCTTGGGGACATTGGAGCTTCCCCTAAAGGCTTATTTGAATGCCCTGGCTCAGACTCAGCTTTGCAGATGGAGGGGTGCCACCTTCTCCTCGGCCAGCATGGGACGGGACGACCAGTGTCCCCAAGGCCCCCTCGGTGACAACCTTCCAAGGGGGAAGGTGCATCTTGGCGAATCTGGAGACAGAGGAGGGATGGAGAAGTCTGCTTCCCCCTCCCCACACGGGAATTCTTCTTCTGGTGCCAACCCGGGCAGCCCTGCCTGGACTTTGTTTTTATTAAGGACGCCGGCCCTTCCTTTCAACACGTCAGGGGCACTCGTTCCAGACCATGCAGGCTTCAGCTCCCGGAGGGCCCCACTTATCAGGACAAAGGGCACTTTGGGGCATGTCCTCACAGTGCCCGCATGCAGGCAGGTCTGCTGGAAGAAAACTGGGGGCCGGGCCCTGGCGCAGGCAGCCAAGAGACCTGGAAACAAGTCCCCTGTTCTCGGCTGCCTTGTTAGATGGAACACACCATCTCTGGATTGTTCTCCTGTGGCTGCTATAACAAATACCACCAGCCTTCGTGGCTGAAAAACAGCATATATTTGTTACCTGGCCATCAGAACTCCAAAACAAGTTTATGAGGCTAAAGTCAAGGTGTCAGTGGGCTCGTTCCTTCTGGCTCCAGGGCAGAAAATGTTTTCTTTCCTTTTTCACCTTCCAGAAGCCTCCTGCATTCCTTGCCCTCCATCACCACATCCCTCTTCTGTGTCTGAAGGACTCTCTTGATTACATCGGGCCCACCCAGGGAATCCAAAATAATGGCTCTTTTCTCAGTTCACCTTAACTTCGACACATCCTCGAAGCATGCTCAGCTGTGAAGGCAATGCATCCCCAGGTGCTGGGGAGTAGGACAGGGGTACCTTTGGGGAGCCATTATGCTATCGACCATAATCTTAATAAGCGGTTCTCTTCAAACCTCATGCATTTCCCAGGCTCCAGAAGGGACCTTCTTATGTCATCTCAAGCCAAAGGGCTTCGGGCTTAAGATCCCTAAGACAGAAGCTCTGTAGAAACCTCTCATTGCTTCTTTTCGTGTTGGAAGCCCTTAAAGGAAGTTCTCACTATCCTCTGAATCATCTCCTGGCTATGGCATAAGAGATCCATGTAGCTCTGCCCAAGTGCTCCTCAACTTCAGTGCTCAGCGGAGGGCCCCCAGGAGCATCTCAATGGCAGAAGATGGAAATGCCATGGAAGAGCCAGAAGGTGAGGTGGGGAGTGGAGAAGGAAGGGAATGAGCCCCTGCTGCACATCTGCTGATGCATCCGAGCCTGACGTACAATGTCTCACTCAATCCTTACAACAATCCTGGGGAGAAACTGAGGCTCAAAGGAGTGGAATAATGTTCCCAAGGCCAGTAGGTGGCATTGCTGAATGGGAGTGAGAGGTTCCTCTCTGAATCTACCACAGCATAGCATGGGGTTGGGGTCACTGGGACCCTGCTTTTGTATATTACCGGCATTTCCTTTCTCCAGCATTATAAACAATGCCAGAGAGGAGACCATGGCTTATGATGACAAGGGCTATTTAGACAGGTCAGAGCCACACACTAGTAGATGGGATTTAGAGCTTATGGAAGTGAGAGGATGTGTGTGTGTGTGTTTCATTAACTCGTACTTAACTTCTGGATATCTGAATGGAGAGGAGAAGGGGGAGAATGTCTTAGTGTATGGGAGTGTATGATTGTCACCTGAACAGGAAGGGAAGCCCAATGAGGGTTACCAAAAACACCGTCTGTATTCAAGACATCCCTCAAAACAGTGGCTTGAAATCACCATCATTATCCGAAGACATTTACCAGAGACCTCGGTCCTTGGGCTGAAGAGGTCTGTTGAGAGTCAGATTCCTGCACCAATACGGCGGTGGAGCAGTTCAGTGGAAGGAGACACAACCCCTGCCCCCAGGAGGCACCACATCTGAGAAGAAAAGGAGGGAAAGAGCTCTTCACTTCAGGGAGATCCCTGTGTGGCAGATGGAAAAGAGAGTTCCCACTTTAGAAGGAGAGCGAGAACACACGGGAACCAAACACACCCCCACAGAGGCAGGTGTTCCCAAATCCCCACAACTCAATGGTTGTAGAGCCAGAGCCAGAGGAAAGAGCCGTTAGAAGTGAGCTTGGTGAAACAGGGGAAGGTTCCAGGAGGAGGTGAGTCTGGAAGCAGAAGGAGGAAGACTGAAGTGGGGAGTTGGCAGCAGAGGGCTGGGGAGGGAGAGAAGCTCACCCATCTGAGGAGTCCGTGGAGGTGAGGGAGGTGGGAGAGGGAGCAAGCCAGCCAAGACCACTGGCGGGGAACTGCCCGAAGGAGCCAGAGTGATCATGCCTTCTTTAACAAGATGGGCCAGGGCAGGGGTCCTATAGAGAATCAACACATACATCACTGATCTAGGAGCCCTAGGGTGAGTGAGGATTGCTGGCCCCAAGTTCTTGAGTGCTTCCTCACCCAGCTTTCTCTTCCTAGTCCACCACCCAGACAATGCAGACCTGCAGCGCCCCTGGCTCCCATACAGAGGAAGCCACCTACACGGCCATCCCACCCGTCCGGGCAGAAATGGTGCCTGGGTCACTTCCCATCCTGTCTGCTTACCGAGAGGCCGATGACAGGTCAGCTGAGGGGACCTGCACAATCACTTGTCCATTATCTTCATGTGGCTTCTCTAGAAAGACCCATTTTCATAATTCTATGAGGAAGTGTGAACTTTAGTTAATTTACCAAATATATGTGAACACCACAGGAGCAAGAGGGGAACCTGGGCCCAGTTTCTTGTTTGTTTGTTTTTTTTTAAGATTTTATTTTTTTTAAGTAATCTCTACACCCAATGTGAGGCTCGAACTCACAACTGCGAGATCAAGAGTCGTACGCTCCACCAATGGAGCCAGCCAGGTGCCCCTTGTGCCCCGTTTCCAATATGACTGAGCACTTCATAGATCACAGTCAGGAAAAAGAGGAAAAAACCAAACCAACAGGGCTGTCCTAACTGGCTCTGGTTCCCCCAAATAAAAAGCCTTGATACTTCCCAGAAATTTGGATTCCTCACAAAAACAATGTTTGATCCCTGAGTTTTGCTGTGCTGAAATCCGAGGGTCTGTTATGAGTATGACGATCATTTGTGAGAAAGCTGCTGTTTTCCACAATGAATAGAATGGTGTAAACATGGTAATCTTGGTCATTTTTCCACATTCCCCTTTCAATACTTGTCCTTTGTATTTGGTCAGTCGGTCATCAGAAAACCAACTCACTCACACTTTCCACAAGTGACCGTTTTCTTCCCTTTTCTAAAAGTGTTGGTGTCTGGTCCTTGCTTTGACCACTTATTCCTAGAGGTCCCACCACTGGTGTCAAGGTCACGTGCACCTTGTCCAGACCTGGAGCCCTGGAGTCCTCAGCTCACCCTCCCTGACTCCTCTGGGGAATCTTCTGTGAAGTGATGGAGCCCAATCTGATTCTTGGCCAAGTTCATTTCTGGTTCTAAAGGAGCACAACCACTTAGGCCCACACCAGGGGCAGCGGGACTGGGATGTGGCCCCACCACCGAGCGATGTCTGTCCCAGAGCAGCAGGTGGGGTTTCTGGAATCGGATTCCCCCAGGAATCTTTTTTTGATGGGGGGAATGTGAATGAGGATTCTGCTATTTTCTGGCATTTGAGAATACAGGGTTAAGAAGGGGTTTTATGTGTGTTTCTGTAACTATTGATCGAATTCTCTGTGTTCACGTGTTTTGCGTTGCTGCCAGTGGAGGTTCTGTTCTAAGTTCGGAGCCTCTTCTTCATCCCAAAGTCCTGGCTTGTCAAGTGTGCTCATTATGCTTCCAGGACCTGTTGATAGTGACAAAGGTGAAAATCCTATACCCGAGATGAAAGGAAACAAAAGAGCTCTCTTTCTCTAAATAATTAATGATTCAAAATCAATGCCTCTTCAGAAATTTATATATAAGGTTAAAAGGGAGATTATCATTGTAAAGGATGTGGGCATTACGAGAGAGAGAGCTTGCTCTGCTAAATTCAGAAGGAAAGCCCCAAATTATTCAGATTTTCAACACTGCATCTGTCCCAAGGACCTAATTGTTCTTAATGATATGACTTAATTGATCAACTTTCTTAAAAGATACGGGTGGTGCCTGTTTCTATCTTAGATTCTCTTCCTTCGTCCAGCTTGTACAAGAGTTGATAAAATTATCTATTTTACAAATATGAAAAAATTCTGAGCAAACCAATTGATAGTTTAGTCACTTCTGGCAGGGGTTAATAAATCAGCTTATGGTATAAGATCTTTTAAAATCTAATGGAGTAAGCTCCTATGCCAAACATCTTTTTTTCTGAAAGAAATATTACCATAGCAAACACTCACATAAATGTGAAGAATCCAAAGTTTACTAAAATATTTTTCTACTTTCATGCTTTAAATCTGTTGAATTTTTGAGAATTTTTTCCTTGCTGAAACTGTAATTTAGGGAGAAAGAGGGAAAAAAAGCCCACAGGGTTTTGACCATGAGTTTAATTAATGACCTTTGTTATATAAAATATATAAAATTATATATATAAAATATTATAAAATAAGCAAAAGCATTACTGTTAAAACAAACTAAAAGCTTTTAAATCTAATCTCTAATTGTCTAAGAAGAAAAATTTGTATAATACTCTAATCAAGATGATTCTTTGGGAAAATGAAACCAGTTAATAATTTTGGTTCGTAAACAGCTCTATGCCTTCTCCCTGATTCTACCACCATCATAAAGCCAATGTGAAGACAATATTCTAGTCTGTACAACTCATGGGTTTATTTACTTGTAGAAAGTGCAATTATTTTGAATTGCCTAAATTTCTTTTACTGTTTTTTCTGGTCATATAAACTAAGATTAATGTATTTAAGATTATAAAATTGTAAAACAAAGAGTTCAGCTATATTAATAATAAAAGGTAGCATCTTTATAGAAAGAGATTATTTTGTATCATGCTAAAAGAACACACAGTGTTAATGCTTCAGATTATAACTTCCAGACCCTTAGTTAACTTTAAGACCTTAAACTAATATTAATCTGAGTTAATAATAAACAGTCTTTGGATACGTGAACAAAATAATTTTAAAATACCCCTGTGGTTACTTAATACGGCATAGCACAGCCAGCAGTAAGAGGTTGAAAGCTTGAATAAATGCCTTTGGGTTATGTTAATGTACATACAGATATTTTAAAGAAGGTAAAAAAATAATCTGTTATAATAAAATGTGTTGCAAGATAATGGGGTATGTTCTTGTTTATCAAGAGGGAAAAAAAGAATAATTTTATTATAAAATAAAAATATCCTTGTGCCAAAACATAAAAGAAGATAGTAAGAGACAAATTTGAGGTTGTCTCACAAGCTGAGATGGTCTGAGGGAAAGTAAAATTCATTTTCTTGTGTATAAAATTGCTACAAATAATGAGTTCGAAAGGAGAAAAGATGTGATAATTTTTTAATCAGTTGGCTTGATGTTAATTAACTTACTCATTAGTATTGTATTTTTTACTGTAAATTATTACACTAATGATCTATGCGAGGAGCAAATGCAGAATTGAGATTTGCTACCTGTTCTTTTTAACAAATGTAACCTACTCCCGAACGATGCAAATCCCTTTTTATAAACATATTCTGTTAATTCTCTGTTCTTTTCTTAGCTCTCTACATTTTAACATAAATTCCTCCTTTTTGAACATGTCCATGTTCCTTAATTATTACTACCTATTGCTGTGTGTTTTAAAAAAGTATTGTTTATGATTGGTTTTTGCCTTTAAATACTTGGGTAAGTTCATGTCTTGTATCCTCAGACAACTCTTTCAAATTTGACCTTGCCCAAATTCAGGCCCCACATGCAGAAACTGTGAAGATGTGTTTTGCACCAAACTATTTATAGATTTTTTTTTTAGATGGCCATGGTTAACACACGGATTTATTTTTTCACTGTACGAAATGGGAGATATGAAAAATAATGAGTTCTATTTGCCATTCTCCAGATGGTTGACTAGCTTGACACAATTGTCCGAACCATCCTGTTTATTCTTGCTTATCAGAAAGAAACATTCAACTTTACTAAGGTTAAGTATTCCTAAGTAAAATGTACTGATTTCAACATTTCAATTATTCTATTGAAAACAATCATGCTCACATTTCACTTTGAAAAGAAACATTCTGATGTTCATGGACAAAGACTGACGCAATAATTGTCAACACAGTCATTTACTTTAAATTTTGTCCCTAGATTTAATTATCCTTGTCAACTGGAAACATTCTTACTTTATGGCATAAAATAAAGACCCTGGAGATTCGCTAATGCCCTCAGTCTCACAAACTGATTGCATATTATACCTTCATAAAAGACTCCGAGTTCCTCTGTTCTTGTTGATTAACCAGAACCATTTAATCTCATTATTACAGATGATAATTAATTAATCTTATAATTACAGATGACATTTCCTTTCTCCCTGCCTCTATTAAAGGCCCCTGCTACAAGTTCAAGATCAGGAATTGAGTCCTCTGGAAGAAATAACAAAAGGGCATCAATAAAGAACTGAATTGTTGACTTTTGATACCAAAGGACATACACCCATGGCTACAAGTTTCCCTGTGTAAGCTGACATCTTTGCCATGGACCTGGTAGACTGAATTAAGTGATCGAGTCAGAATCTGTGGAGTGGTTTTGGTCTAAATTTGAATATGGGTCAGCAAACCGTGGCCCTTGGGACAAATCCAACTTGCTGTCTCTTTTTGTAAATAAAGTTTTATTGGAACAAGTCATGCTCGTTGGGTTACTGTGATCTGTGTCTGTTCTCCCACTTCAACAGCAGAGCTGAGAGGTTGTGTATGCAAGCGACTGAAAACCATACAACTTTGTAGAAATAGACTACCCAACCCAAGAGCGGCCAAATAAAAATGAACTAATTGGACTGATTTCATTTATGATGAATATTTACATTAACTGACATAAGGAAAAAACCTTCCTGTTCCATCGATTTCTTACCCTCAACAGATTATACCTACACAAACTAGAATGAAGCACTTTAAAAAAAAATTGTAATACTATATTTTATTTAACCCAGTATACCCACAATAGTAACATTTCAACATGTAATCGATCTAAAAAAATATTAATGAAATATCTTACATGTTAAAAATTTTAAATCTTCAAATCCAGTGTTTATTTTTACACTTACAGCCCATTAAAGCACTCTCAAAGTCATTTTGTCCCAACTGAACTTTCAAATTACAAAAGAAAAAGAATTCCATGAGAGATCTTAAATATAGATCATAAGCTAATACATGATCAGGACAGTGAAAAATATAGTTTTATAGATTAATGAAGTGTATTGATTGGCCTCATCCACAAACCAATAATAAAGGTTAAATAATATGGAAAGTGACTTTACTGAGCTCCTTTAGTTTTTGTGACCAAATTTCCTATTTTATAAGTTTGAGGAGGAAAGACTATAACTGAATTGCTATAGTTTATCTGCCTTTAGAGGGAACTGATACTTACGATCATGTAGGTTGTTTATATAGGTTCAATAAGAATCTGTCCTTTTTCTTGCCAGAATATAATTAGATATTGGCTATGCTGAAAATTCTACTTAATTAGGTATGACAAACCCATTATTAAAGAACAAAGACTACAATTCACATGTGGGAATGACATCTATGATGAAGAAACTTCTCTGGGACAAACCTTTTGACTTAAGAAATTCCAGCATTACTGGTAGTAAACAATTTCACTTCCTGGTAGGCCAGAACTATTAACAAATATGGGAATCTTAGAGAAAATCATGCTAATAAATATGGTAATGGAGCACCTGGGTGGCTCAGTCGGTTGAGCATCTGGCTCTTGATTTCGGCTCAGGTCATGATCTACGGGTCGTGGGACGAAGCCCCGTGTCAGGTTCTGCGCTCAGCATTGAGTCTGCTTGTCCCTCTCCCTCCCTGCAACTTGTGCTCTTGTGCTCTCTCTCTCTCTCAAATACATGAATAAACAAACAAATAAATAAAAACTTTAAAAAAAGATGGTAAAAATTCTTCTGATACGTAAAAGTAATTTACAACCTGAGGAGCTTTACAAAGCTTCCAGACAGAAGTTCACGATAAAGCATCAGTATCACAGGGCTCTGGTTTTGTTAGCCATTCAAAAACACAGTGTCGGGGTGCCCGGGTGGCTCAGTCGGTTAAGTGTCTGCCTTCAGCTCAGGTCATGATCTTGGGGTCCTGGGATCGAGCCCTGCATCGGGCTCCCTGCTCACCAGGCAGTCTGCTTCTCCCTCTCCCTCTGCTGCTCCCCCTGCTCATGCTCTCTCTCTCTGTCAAATAAATAAAATCTTAAAAAAAAAAAGTGTCTATGTATTAATCAATGCCTCTTAGTATACTTGTGGAAATAAATTTTCATCAAATAAAACAAAATATTCATTTAATGACACTGAGTCAGAAAATGGTTAATCAACTTAAAGTTTTCTCAATAGCAAGAACTTGCCCATAAGGAAAGAAAACCCGTAGGAGCAAAACCTGACCCTGCTCCATTCATGACTGAATACCACAGGGGCTGGGTGGGGTAGCGGGGGCAGCGGATACTGTGCATCAGGAGAAAATCCAAAAACAACAGGTTTCCTGACTGGTTCAGGGCTCCAGAATAATAAGCCTTGACTAGTTGTCCTAAGTATGGGCTCTCTGACAAAAACAATTTTATCCCTGATTTTGACTAGGCTAACAAGTGAAGATATGTCATAAATATGATGAATGTGTAAGAAAGCAGCTGATTTCCACCATGAATTTGGTAGCCTTGGTCATCCTTTTTTTTTTTTCCCCCTTTAAATACTTGTATTTTGTATTTGACGGGCCAATCTTTCTTCCTAAAGTCTGACTCCTTTTCCCTTTTCCCAAGTCCTTGTTTTCTTGTCTAAATGTTTCTGTCTTTGAGACTTCGATAGCATGGACTATGTGCCAACCACAACACTGAGCCGGGGCTGAGGATTTGGAAATGAATTTGAACTCCTGCCTGGCAGAAGTTCACATCTGGAGGAAAAGACTCACCTATAAAAAGAGGACTTCCCCTTCAAATATTTCATGGGAAGTTAACACGACATCTGTTTGTTTTGACACCCCATGCAAAAGGAAGGGATCCTCCAAACAGTTATGTCCAAAAGGCCACCCCCAGGGGTCCAGGAACTTGTCCTGGGAGAGGCAGTTCTGTGCACACTCCTGCTCCTGATCCAGGCTTATCCGTGCCTCCCTCATTCTCCTCCCTGCCTCAACTACTCTTGAGGTCTTTCAGTTCCCGGAACACGGCAGCCTCTTTCTACCCCGGGCTTTTTCTGTTCCTTCTGCCTTACGTGCTCTTTAGCCAGACCAGCACCTTCCCTTTGTTCCCAGTTTACACATCACTTCCTATGAAAGCTTTCCCTGACCACCCACACCACTTACAAAATCTCCCAACCCTCAGAATTGTTTTGGTAAACTTCTCACAATTGTAATAAATTACTTATTTATGTGATTCTTGGTTTAATGTCCATCTTCTCTGACAGACCATATACTTCAAGAGGACAGGGACTGACTCTGTTTTCGCTCATCTTTCTGTCTCCGTCCTCTCCTACAGTGCAAGGCACCTGTGAGGGCTCAATAAACATTGGTTGAATGAGTACATGGATGACCAGTGTAGTATGGGGGCTTATTCAGAGTGGCAAGAACTATTGAATGAGATGAAATTTCACAAACATCAGGTTCAAAATAGAAGAGTTTGGAGTTATGGACGATCTTGAGATCACTCATTCATTCATTTATCCAGGCATTCAGTGAGTACTTTACTGAGCATCTACTCTATGTCAATCACTGGGGATGGATACAATAAAATAAATAAGACTGACCCAATCCTGGTGAATATTCAAAATATATAAAGAACTGATACAATTCAACACCAAAAAACAAGTAATCCCACTAAAAATGGGCAGAAGTCATAAACAGACATTTCTCCAAAGAAAACATACTGATGGCCAATAGACACATGAAAAGATGTTCATTATCATTCTTTATCAGGGAAATGCAAATCAAAACCACCATGAGATACCATCTCACACCTGTCAGAATGGCTAAAATCAACAACACAAGAAACAACAGGTGTTGGTGAGGATGCGGAGAAAGGGGAACCCTCTTACACTGTTGGTGGGAATGCAAGCTGGTGCAGCCACTCTGGAAAACAGTATGGAAGTTCCTCAAAAAGTTAAAAATAGAACTACCCTATGATGTAGTAATTCTACTACTACCCAAAGAAAATGAAAATATTAATTCAAAAAGATACATGCACCCCTATGTTTATCGCAGCATTATTTACAATAGCCAAGATATGGAAGCAACCCAAGTATCCATCCATAGATAAATGGATAAATATCCATAGATAGGTGGATAAAGATGTGGATTCTATATGTATATACACATATATATGTGGGTTATATATGTATATACACATGTTACACACACACACACACACACAATGGAATATTACTCAGCCATAAAAAAGAAAATCTTGCCATTTGCAATGATGTGGATGAATCTAGAGGGTATAATGCAAAGTGAAATAAGTCAGAGAAAGACAAATACCATATGATTTCACTAATATGTGGAATTTAAGAAACAAAACAAACAAACAAAAGACAAACAAAAAACAGACTCTTAAATACAGAGAACAAACTGGAGGTTACCAGAGGGGAGGTGGGCAGGGGAATGGGTGAAACAGGTGAAGGGATTAAGAGTATGCTTACCGTGATGAGCACTAATGTATAGAGTTGTTGAATCATATATTGTACATCTGAAACTAATATAACACTGTATGTTCATTGTACTTAAACTTTAAAAAAATTATAAAAATTAACTTCAAAAGAATTGGCCCAGTCCTTGCCTTTACTGCGCTTATAGTCTAGTGAGGGAGGCAGACATTAATAAGACATTCACACACAAGATGTAAAATTATAACGCCACTGGATACTAGGAAAAGGGGCACAAAGTACCCTGACAGCCCCACTAAGGGGGTTTCCCTTGCCCAGGAATCTGCCTTTTCTGAAGGTGCTTGCTTAGCTGCAATCTGAAGGATGAATAGGAATGAAGTGGGCACAGAGGGGCCATAGTGGGAGACAACTCCCCATGGGTCTCTTGCATTTCTGCACATCCTAGGAGCAGAGGAACAGGCTGTCTTTGTTCCAGGCCACCTTTTTGATGATGTTTGTATAACAAACAGCCTTGGAAGGTAGAAGCAGTGTCTTCCCATGGAGCAAAAGGCAGCTTCGTTGACTGTCCAGTGTAATAAAGATAATGTCTCCCTGCAGGTCCAAGGAGAGGCAGGCTTACTGTGCACTGTAAAAGATTTGGGTTTCTTAAACTCAGAGGTCCTCTGCTGTGGTGCAAGACATTGCATGCACAGCATCCACCTGGGCTGCTCCACCGTCACCCTCCCTGGAACGTGGGGCCAAGGGAAAGTGTGATGGGGGCCTGCGGCTGGTGTGTTAAATGAAGAAAATGCAGATTATGACCTGCTGAATGAAGAGGCACAAGCCATCCACATGGCGTCGGCCGGTGGTGCCTTCAGCATCAGAGCTCCCATTTGGGGGAAGTGAAAACCCTGGGGTCATTTTGACTGAAGGCATGGTTTCAATACAGTCACACAAGGGAAGTCAAGTCACAAGACTTTTTACTTACAAATCCCAGAAACGAGGATAAACGGCCATCAGAGGGAGAATGGCAGTCCTTTGTCCCAGGTCACGAGCAGGCAGGAGATAGAGAACAAGCACCTATTACTTACAAGGTGGTTGGGGCAGAGGTCACTAACTTTCGCGGGCTCAACTCTAAGTGGTTATTTTAAAAGGTATATCAGGACAAGCCAAGCAAGAACTTGTGGCAGGAATCCTAAGCTCGGGTCCTTACCTAAATGTCCAGACTCTTGAGTGTGAGCAGGGTCATCATACTAGAAAATGTCCAGACAGCAATTCAAAATGGCTGCTTTCTCATCACTGAAAATGACACAAACATGAAATTCACGCTTCTTGCTGTACCATGAATAATAAGTCCTTTGTCTCTGACCTAGGATTCTCGTGTCTTCTGTCAGAATCCATGAAACTGTGGCTGTCTCATTAGTTTGCAAACAGCATAAAACTTCAGGCCCTTCAGTTATTGATAGGCACGTCGATGGCATATGCAAAGACCCTATGGTGGGCAAGGGTAGAGCAAATATAAAGATATGAGAGAAGGCATGCATGGGTGGAGTGTAGGGAAGAGAAGGATATGAGATGAGCCTGGGAGGGGCTGAGTCATGGGACCCTCAGCCATTGCTGCTGAGGCAGGCCCAGGGGTATCTTGGTCATTTGTTGTAACAATGCCACTTTCCTATAGAACTTGTAGAATTAATAAACGGGTTTGGAGAGGGACATGGGACAACGAGGTTTGTGCCAATCTGAGCCTATAAGATCATTTTTAACAAAGGAAGAGTGAAAATTGGAAGTGTGTTCTTAACATACTTCACCCTGTAATGAAAATGTTTTTATTGCACACTACTTTGTAATACTTCTTTTAAAGATTAGAGGATGTCCACTTCTCAGCACACAATGAATGAGGAAAAGTTATCACTGACTGGCATTGCTGTCTACCCTGTAGAGTCCAAAAGGAGGCAGTTGCCTTAAAAGGGAGAAGCAGGGACCCTTTAGTACGTACAGAGTGACTCTTGGACCAAGCACTTTTTATGCACTCCTTGACCAATAAAGAGGGGTCGTTCCAGTTTTATAGGGAGAGGAAGGGAGAGAAGAGGGAGAAGGGGAGAGACCTCACTCACCAAGAGAGGGCTGTGAAACCGCGGTGGCTAATGTCAGATTATTACCTAATGTTAGAGTACAAATAAAAGGACTTTGTTAAGAAGCCCTCTGGCCCACTCTGGCTCTTAGAATTTGGAACATTTCACTCGCCGCCTATTCATTAATTTGCAGCCTGCAAAGAATGGAGAGGTCTTGGATCTTTGGCCAAAGAAAGTATCCCCAAGCAGAGGGCAAAGCCAGCACAACCTCCTTAAGAAGTTTTGTTCTTACCCTGACAGTGATAAGGAATCATTCAAGGACTTGGGGAGGGGGTGACATCGTGAGGTCTGGGTGTCAGAAGCATCACTGAAAGAGATTATGGAGGTTCTCGGTCTTCTAGGATTATCTGCTCCTGGGGGAGATCTGGGGCTGTGGGAATTGACTCCTTGATCCCTCACTGCAGCCCCAGGCTTGCAGCAGAACCCCCATCGCTCCCTGGAACTGGAATTTCAAAACCGAAGCAAACCAGCATCGGGCCTCAGAGCAGCCGGGGGTGCGGTGGGGGTGGGTTTCAATTCCCCCCCAGATTTCCCTTAAATTATCAGCACAGCAACTGCTCCCAGGCTGTCAGACCCTCACCTGACTCTCGGGCCAGGTTGTGGGAACCAGGCTTGGAGAGAGAAAGTCTGAGGGGGGAGCAGGTCAGGCAGGATGCTGTGAGCCTGGAAAGAAAGTAAATAACAGCCTTGTTTGGGGCGCTGCGGGCTTCAGAACTCAACTGTGCCCGGTTTCCACCTGGCCGAGGGCCTGGGCCGAGGGCTGGTGACGCCAGCCGAGAGGCTGCCAGAAAAGCCCAGAAACTGCAGGCAGAAAAGTGGGGGGGGGGGGGGGTGCAGAAGGCAATGAGAAAGGTGGCTGGGAATAAGGCGGGGTCACCCACCCGGGAGCCACCAGATAGTCACCCCCGTGGGTGGCAGTTGCCTCCCAGAGACCTGGCCCAAGTTTTCAAAACTCTCCAAGCTTTCTCAATCTTCCTCTGGTGGCCCACAGTGCTCCTCCCTGGCCCCTTCTCTGCTGGTAATTCCTTCCTTGACACAGCTCAGTTCCCATAAATGGGATGTTTGGGGGCTCGTGGGAGTGGAAGGGGACAGATATAAAAAGGAAGCGTGAAGCCCAGGGAAGAGGCCCTGTCTAAGCGGCTAGACAGAGCTGAGGGCACAGGACGCGGCCACAGCCCGGCCTGCTCTGCTGCAGCCAGGATGGAGCTGAGGGTGGCTCAGACAGGTGTCCGGGCTGGTCAAGGCTGGCTTGGTTGTGGGTTTTCAGGCTGAGAGGCCCAGATGACCCAGGAAGCCACTGCACCAAGGGGCTGGCCTCCTACCTGCTGGGGGAAGGGGGTGGGGGGGAGGGGAAACAGGGGCAGGACAACTGGTGTTAACCCCTTGATTCCCTGGGTGGGGGGTGGAGCAGAAGGAAGGGCAGGATATCCTCGCATGGGGTCTGACTCCGGATTTCCCTTCAGGCTTCGTGGTCCTGGTGCTGCTCCAGAACTGTAAGTAACCCCTCTTTCAAGTCATGGGAGACGGGGGTGTGCTAAGGGTGACGTGGAGGAGATCTTGGCAGAGGCGAGCACTTTCCAGTTTCTTCTGTGATTCACATGGCTCAGAAATATTAACATATGTCAAACCAAGGCGATTTGCATATGGATGTTTATTATACTATCCTCTATTTTTCTGTGTATTTGAAATTATTCAAAATAAAAACCCTTCAAAGGTTCTGGTCTGCTGAAGGCCTGGACTTGTGGTCTGGTGGGCACCGCAGCTGGGCCCAGGGGCAGCATGGGCAGGTGATGCCCACTGTTCTTCCTCTGTAACTGGAAAAGGCTCACTCTGCAGGAGGAGGACTTGGAATGAGGAGGGGAAGGACTTTCTGGTCCACTATGATCGTGCCCCAGCTTGGGGGATGGGCGGAGGGGGGCTGGGGACTGCCCCTCTGGGTGGGTTACAAATTAGGGACACTCCTGCAGGAAGGCAGAGAAGAAACAGAGCCTCCCAGATCGACGACCCCCTGCAGGTTCCACAAGGCTCCACTCTGAAGGCCAGGGTCTTCTGACATTGGCTGTTTTGGGCTCTGTCCCTCCTCTCCTTCCAAGCCACTGCCTCCAGGAAGCCTTCTTTACTTGCACCGAGTCCCATTTTACCTTTATTCACCAGCCCTCATGCTCACCGCACACAGTGCCCTGTCCTTAGTCTGCAGGATATTCATCTACTGCATTTAATCTGTTCAAAGCCTTTTCAGAATAGGCCTTATTGTCATCAGAGGCAGAGAGAACTGAGCCAGCCCCTCGTGTTGAGAATGCTAACTTGGCTCACATCTGGGCCCCGGCCCCCAGTACTCCATCGGTGCTCAGTGCAGGGCTCAGCCAGAGGCCCCTTGGCTCTGTCCTGGTTCAGGCACCACCCCAGACTTCTTCTCCAGATTCTGCGTACAAACTGGTCTGCTACTACACCAGCTGGTCCCAGTACCGGGACGGTTTTGGGAGCTGCTACCCAGATGCCATCGACCCCTTCCTCTGCACCCACGTCATCTACAGCTTCGCCAACATAAGCAACAACGAGATAGACACCTGGGAGTGGAATGATGTCACCCTCTATAACACACTGAACATGCTCAAGAACAGGTTTGGCCCCAGGCTGCCAGGACAGGAGGCAGAGGGAGGGCTAGACCGGCTGGTCCCAGGGCAGGGCGCCTCTGCTCGGGAGGCTGCGGGACGGCCCCTGGGGACCCTGGCTGGGGAAGTGGAGGGCCTGGGCTTTGGTGGGAGCAGATGATGAGGGTACATGCTAGGCCATGCCTGGTGGTGACAGAGGCAGGCTGTAGAACAAGGCCGGCTGAGCTCCCCTGGGGAAGGGGAGTCCTCTCCCCCACTGGGGGTGCCTCTCCAGGGACCATGGAAAATACTCATGACCCTATTTTGCCATTTCCTGGCTTCCCCACTCAGGAGAAACAAAAATGGGCAGCATACCTCAGAGTAACTGCCGCAAAGTCTATGCCTCCTAGAACCCTGAATTTCAGGGTTGGAAGCACCTCCCACCCAATGCTGGCACCCTGCAGTAGCCTCCCACACATGGGGCCGGCCCATGTTACAACAGCTTCACTCCACCCTGGCCCTCCTGCCTCTCTGTGCCCCACAGGAACCCCAACCTGAAGACCCTCCTCTCTGTTGGAGGATGGAACTTTGGTTCTCACAGGTAGGACCCACTCCCCAGGATGATGGAATGAGGGGAGGAGGCATAGGTCTCCCTTACCCCATGTAGAGGGCCGCAGGGGCTGCAGACAGGTTAGGCATGGGGGACTAAATGGTTGTTGGGGGCCCACCCTGTGTAGAGTGAAGAAACCAGAGCCCAGAGAGGGAGAGGGCCTTGCCAAGAGTCACACAGTACGTTGTCAGTGGATCTTCTGACCCCCGGCCGGTGTTCCATCTACTGCCTCTCAGACCTGAAACCACAGGACTTCTGGGAGATACTGCCCCTAGGGCTGGAAGGAGAGAGATGGAAGGAATCGAAAATTGGGGAGTGTAGAGAGCCTGGAGGGACTCCCTGGAGTGGGTAGGGTTGGAGCAGGGCTGAAAAGGGGGGCAAGACGTGGCCCTAACAGCTCCCGCTTACTGAGTGATGGCTCAGCTTCAGGCCCCCGTCGAGCCACAATCACAGGGGATCCCCATCACAGCACCGTGAGACACGGCCATTATCCCCACTTCACTGACAAGGAAACTGAGATGTAGGTGATGACCTTTCCAAGGCGACTTGGCTAGTAGGTGTTAGAGCAGGACCTGGAACCTGGACTGGCCGCTCCAGAGCTCTGTCTGAGATGCCTGGAGGTGGGTCCCGTCCCAGCCATGCCCTTCCGGAGCTCGGGGGTTCAGGCCCCCGCATCACAGGCCTCAGAAACCCCTGGAGATGCCCGAGGCCACCAGCATGTCAGTGCTGAGCACTCCACTGGGGTGACTGGGGCCCTAGATTTTCCAAAATAGCCTCCAAGACCCGAAGTAGCAGGACTTTCATCAAGTCGGTGATACCGTTTCTGCGAACCCACGGCTTCGACGGGCTCGACTTGGCCTGGCTCTACCCTGACCGGAGAGACAAGCGCTACTTCACCAGGCTGGTCAAGGTGCTGGCCGGTCGGGGAGAGCGGGGGCGAGGTGCGCTGGCACCAGGGGGCGGCCCCCTGAGGGCAGGCTGAGAGGGGTCTGAGGCCGCCTGGCCACAGGGTCCGGGGACCCGGACTGGGGAAAGACAAACTGGCTTGTGCCCTGAGATCTGACACAACAAGGAAGACATCTTGTGACCACGGTGGGAGGTGTGGTGGGGTCCTCAGAGGCAGAAGGTCACTAAGCAGAACGCCCACGTAGTGGGGGAGCATCATTACCCACTGTTACCTCCCAAATCGATGCTGCCACTCCCCAGCATGCATTGCCTTGGGGACACTTGGCCACATCTAATGAGGGCAGCCCAAGCATCTCCAGGGCCCCAGGGGCAGAGTGATTATCCAAACAAATTGTCCACAGTACCCATATCATTTTGATTTTAAAGACCACTAAATGTAAATTTAAAGACCACTTTAATTTTTGTAGTCTCATGTACTGGCATGAACAAAACACAGACTGAAAAACAAACTTCTTCCAACACAATCTGTGGGCCAACGAGGACCACTATCTGTCCTCATGGTCCCTCTCGGACAGGGAGCAATGGAACGTTGATGGGTGTGTGTGGGGTGTGGGGATGGGATGGGTCCAAACAGTGTTTTAGGAGAAGGGTGGGTGAGTCCCAGGTGGGACCACCAATGGGCCACTCTAGCATTCGCCCTGAAGCGCAGTCAGGCTGGGGTCCTAGCAGATGGGGAAGGTCAATGACAGGCTCGGAGACCTCGGCCTCTCTCACAAGGCTCCCTCGCACACAGCCCCTGGGATTGTGCGGGCCCCCGTCACTCACCTGCCTCTCTCCCAACCAGAAAATGAAGGCTGAGTTTGCGAGGGAAGCCCAGGAGGGAACAAGACAGCAACTGCTTCTCAGCGCAGCAGTGTCCGCAGCGAAGGTGATCATCGACAGTGGCTATGACATTGCCCAGATATCCCAGTGAGTCCCCAGCCCTGCCCGGCCCCAGCGCTCCACGTGGAGTCAGAAGACTGGATTTCTAGTCCCCGTTCTTCCAAAAACTTGATGTGTGGCCTTGAGCAAGTCACTTCTGCTCTCCATGCCTCGGTCTCCCCATCTGTCAAAAGGGGCACCGTAATCCCTGTCCTTCCATCTTCACACGGGTTATTGTGCTAAGCAGTTGAGAGAGTTTCTATGAATGCATTTGTGGAAAAGGAGGTAGGAGACGATACACAAACCGGCCAGCCACTGCGGGATCTCTTCTCCACCAGAGCACTAGTCACCGCAGACACAGCTCAGTAGCAGGAACACTTTGCATTGCTAGATGCCTTGAGGTGTCTTCTCACACACAGGGGACCCCAGCCCTGTCCACCCCTCCTCCTCACCCTGTCCCCTTCTGCACGTGAGGATGAGAAGTTCACAGCCCCACGGGCTGATGTCAGTGGAATCTGAAGACATGGATCTTAGGAAACACAGGAGTAAAGAGCAAAGGCTCTTCACTATGACTTTTCAGAATCTTCTTTATGATCTCAGGGAGGCATAGACTCTGTTTAAATGGATCATTTAGGAGGTGGGAACTAGGTGGCTCTCAACCATTTGCCCCAAATATCCAAAGCTCATATTCATGCAATCCACATGTGGTCCCTCTCACCCGGGTATGTGTGTGTATATGTGTGTAAACCTTCCTCCCCACTCCAGTGGATCACAGGTTCAGGGCCACCCTTTGGCCCAGCTCTTTCCCCACCAGGCTGTCTGTTGATGCTACTCTTTAATCTGCTTTCACTAAGATGAACGTGGCAGGTGCCAGGCGTGGAGGGTGGAAGGCAAGACAGAGGCCAGCTCCCGATCGTGTGCTGGGGACCTAATAAAAGGACTCCATTCTTGCCTTAAATGCACCTGTAGGGCTCTGAGCCCACTCCTGGGTGCGGCAGAGGGGAAGTGGCCAGGCAGCTTGGACGGTGGATCACAGGGCTCTACGGGGCCTGCCTCAGGGTTGCCTGCCTGCCCTGCTCCCACTGTGCCGGGGTGATGGATGCGAGGCCAAGAACCTTTCTAATTTCCTGCCTCGCCCTCTGACCTCTCTTCCCCAGACACCTGGACTTCATCAGCCTCATGAGCTATGACTTTCACGGAGCCTGGCGTCAGACCACAGGACATCACAGCCCCCTGTTCCGAGGCCAGGAGGATGCGAGTTCTGACAGATTCAACAACGCCGTGAGTGCCTGGAAGGAGGGTGGCTGGCCAGGCAGGGGGCCCCAGAGACCTGCCACCTGCCAGTGCTCATACACCAATGCTGTGCCCCTGGGGAATCCTGCAAGGGAGGGCTTATGGGACCCACACCACAGATGAGAAAACTGAAGCCCAAGTCTGTGAGTGCTCCATGCCTGCAGAAGGGAGGAGGCAGAGTCTGGTCTAGACCAGCCTTGCACTTGCGTGTAACCTGAGCTGATCACCGGATTGGTTGCCAACAGTCATAATCCCTTCCTTTACCTAAGACCATTCTTTGGAGAATGCAACTACAAAATGCATTTTAGATTGCGATTATCAGCTCCCAGGAGGAAGCGTGTCCCAGATGCCGGGCGCGCCTGGAACTCCACCTGTCAAGGCGGCAGTGGGAGTACAGTCTTGCCCATCCTGCACCTCCAGCACTGCTAACAGCTCCTCCCCTCCCCCTCCCAGGACTATGCCGTGAGCTATATGTTGAGGCTGGGAGCCCCAGCCGATAAACTGGTGATGGGCATCCCTGCCTTTGGGAGGAGCTTCACTCTGGCCTCCTCCAAGACCGGTGTGGGAGCCCCGATCTCAGGGCCCGGATTACCAGGCCGGTTCACCAAGGAGGAAGGGATCCTGGCCTACTATGAGGTATGAGCTAGGGAGAAGGTAAGATCCCCACACACCCAGAGGCCCTGAGGAAGGTGAGCCTCCCACCCCCCATTTCCTCTTTTGGGAATAAAAACCTGAGGAGGGGGCGCCTGGGTGGCTCAGTTGGTTAAGCGACTGCCTTCGGCTCAGGTCATGATCCTGGAGTCCCAGGATCGAGTCCCGCATTGGGCTCCCTGCTCGGCAGGGAGTCTGCTTCTCCCTCTCCCGCTCCCCCCTCTTGTGCTCTCTCTCTCTCTCACTCTCTCTCTCAAATAAAAAAAAAAAAAATCTAAAAAAAAAAAAACCTGAGGAGGAGGAAGCGGGGAGGTCAGGCCTCCTGCTACTAAGTCTCCTTCGGGCACACCGGGTCTGCCCCACCAAGCTCCCAGACACCCCTCTGGCCCTAGTTGAGGTTTTCCTGCCAGCCCAGAAAAGAGCAATGGCCCAAAGGCGGGTTCTTTTTGGACCCTGCCCCTGCTACTTTGTATCGCCTTGGGCCAGTCCTTACGTCAACCCATCATTTCCCACATCCCTGTTTAAGATGCCGGAAGCAAACCAGAGTCCCCTTCATGCCCTCAGGCTACAGCACCCCCAGAACCGTGGGGTGTTTGCATCTGGTTTACATACATAAGCATGAGGACTGCAGTCTGGGGGCTGGGGGCTGGGGGCAGATATCCTGAGCGGGATGAAGCGAGGGGCTGAAATAGATGTGGGGAGGGGCATCTCCCTGGTGACCTGCACCATCTCACCCAGCTCGCCATGCCACCCGGCCCTGTTCTCTGCTCAGATCTGTGACTTCCTCCACTTCGCCACGGTCCATAGACTCACTGGCCAGCAGGTCCCCTATGCCACCAAGGGCAACCAGTGGGTGGGGTACGACGACAAGGAGAGCGTCAAAACCAAGGTAGGTTCTCAAGGCCACGCCCCAGGATGAAGAGGGAGAGGGAGCCCGGCTCCAAGCAGCCAGATTCAGGTCCCCTGCACTGAGGGCGGTGCTGGGTCGTGGGGGCGGGGTGGTCCAGGTCTTGGGTGCCCGCTGTTCCCTTCCCTAGGCAGGGGCCCAGGCAGCACGTCCGCCCCGTGCACACTCCAGCCCAGGAACCCAGTTCTGCCCCCCCCGGGTCTTCCCTGCCAGGTGCAGTACCTGAAAAACAAGCAGCTGGCCGGCGCCATGGTGTGGGCTCTGGACTTGGATGACTTCCGGGGTGCCTTCTGCAGCGGGGCTGTGCGCTTCCCTCTCACCACTGCCATCAAGGAGGCGCTCGGCGCGGCTTAGCCCCTGTCCTGCACACGGTGGGGCGAGGGGCATCCCTGCTGGCCCGGAGCCTCATCGCCCACCTTGCTGAGTCCCCGCCTGAGCCTCAGTCTCCCTCCCTTGGACCCCACGCGGAGGGCCACAGGGGAGCCGTCTGAGCTCAGCTCCAGTGGACCAGCAGGTAGAGGTAGGGCCGTGGGCAGCTAAGTCCTGGGGGCCAGCACGGTGGAAGCCCCGGGGTTAGCACACCGCTGCTGATTCGTGAGAATGCTCAATGGCCCCAGCCCCACACAAGGAGATTTCTTGGACTCCCTTACCCCCAGGCCTCCTTGCCGAAGGGCACCATTTGGCCTGTGCAAGCAACACATCTCTCACGAAGCAGAGCCACACTAATTACCCCTTCTGCAAGCCCAGCTTGAAAGCTGCACTCAGGAACATGATCACGTCTCCCCTCCCACTTCCCTTCCCTAATTCTGCAGCTGCTGCTCAATAAAGCGCCAGAGCTTCATGTGTGTTGGCACTTGCTTCGGTCTCTTTGGGCTCCCCTTGGTCGTGTCTTCTGGATTCCTCTCTCAGGCTCGGGGGCTTGAGCTTGTAGAAGGTGCAGAGGTGAGGCTACCCTGGCCTCTGCTGGGCCCCGGGGAGTCCCAAAAGGAGGCCGGCCTCCTAAGATCCATCCACTGTGGACTTAACTCAGGAGGGCTGATGGCCTTCCGGATAATAAAGTAGTCCAGACCTCTTGACCTAGTTCCTTGTTGAAAGAAGACTTTTCTGTTTCCTGCAGGTTAGCAGGTACTAGGAAGGAAGCCACATTCCAAACCTTCATCTCCTCTGAGCCCCTGGGAAGGGGTAGGGAGCCAACCCAGGGCCAGGTTAGAGAACCCTGACCCTGGCCGTTCAGGGCTAGAAAGAGACCCCGATGTCCTCCTGCACCCTCCCTCTGGCCCAGGCCTGGAGTTTCTGCAGGGTGCTTGAGACATGGCTGTCCAGCCTCTGAGACTCCCAGAGACGGGCAGGTGGCTCATGACCTTAAAAAGCCCCTTCCATTGCTGGGCGGAAATTTGTCAGATGTCCTAAGGCTGCCACTCAGCCCTCTGTCTCCCTTGTCTCTCCTCTTGGGACACACTCGGCCCCCAACCCAAGCAGAGACAAGGCTGCTCTGCTCAGGCCGTGGCCGGGGACATGAGGTGGCAGGCAGGTGGGATGGGAATACAGGTGAGTTGGGATGGGCTCAGAAGACCCGCTGGTCTTGCAGCCTTTATGAGGTAGAAATGCTCTCGTCAGGTTTCTGTGGAACTCCCAGGGCCCCAGGCATGCCTTGTATCTGGAGTCCAGAGGCACACTCCAAAATCAAAGAGAATTTATGTGTGGATTCCCTCATGTTCCGATGATCCGTGCCTTGGTTTGTGACACTGGTTTGAGGTGTAGGGAAGGAAGTACCTACTGGCCACCCTGAAATCTGAACCAGCTGGAGCTGAGCAGATGCAACTGATCCCAAGGTCACAGCCCTGCTCAAGGCAAGGAAAGTGAGAGCTTGGCCAGAGCCTCGGGAGGGTACCTGGCATTTCATCATGGGCCAGTGGGGCCAGGAATTCCCCAGTCGCCGCCCCTCGCCCACCCCACAACACAAGGGTCTTCCAACCCCCCCAGGGCTGTGAGCCCTCGGGGCAGCCAAGCCCCCTCCTCCCTGGAGCCACCCTTCCCCCACCCTGGGCCAAGCTCCGCAGGGCTGACTCAGGGTCCTGCAGAGTTAGTCACATTCGCTTATAGCTGCGGAGTCAGAGGCCAGGGATGGGGATCGGGTCTCCGGGGCCCGCCTCCTGCCTGGCAGGACACTGAGTCACCTGGCAGAGGGCGCGGGCACCCAGGCAGGGCCGGACCCTGAGGCTCCCCAGGCCCTCCGCTACAACGAGGACAACGAGCAGTGAAAGGCAGCCACACTCCTGTGTATTTATTTTTAAATGTTGGGATATAGCATACATGCTAAAGAGTGCATAGAATGGATTTGTTTCATTTAAAGAATTACTAACTCGTGAAAAACCTGTATAACCCCCCCCCACCCCACACCGGAAGGGAAATGAAACCTCAGTAGTGCCCCCCGAGACCCCACCAGCACAGACACCCTGTCCCTCCACCTGGAGGCACCGCTCCTGACCTCCCCCTGCCTCCCCCTGGGGTCTCACCACCTACAGAAGCCCCTGGAAGAAGAGAGCGTGGGATTGTCTGCCTTTGAATTTAACATGGGTGGGATCCCACTGTTCTTGAGCCTTCCTCCCTTTGTTCACCATGAAACTGTTAGATCTGTTAGGTCGCCCCCGCGGCTGCAGTTGGCTCGTCCCGTCCCGTATTTTGGATTATAGGTGCACACGTGCTCCGCAGTGAGCTGTGGAGGGACAGGGGCCTTCCCCAGGTTTGGGCTATTACAAATAATACTGCTGTGCGAATTGGCGTGCATGTCTCCTGGGCACGTGTGACAGTGTCTAGGGCTGTCACTGCTGGGTCGCAGACATGCCCATTTTCCGTTTTTACCAGATGCCGTCTCCCTTTTTCCAAAGGGATGTCTTCGACCGCCACTCCCACCGGCAATGACCGTCCCCGTGGCCTCCCCTCCTCCCTGACTCGTGGTATTTTCAGGCTTGTTAAATGATTGCCAGTCTGAACGTTTTATTGGGTGAATGAATCCGTGACTAGACGTTTGGTTGTACCTGCCTCGTAACCCTCCCTGCTTCAAAGAATCTAGAAGTTTCAGAGTGCCGTCCTCCTCTGGGCTCTCTTCCAGCTCTGCCTCATGACTTTATCTCACTGCCAAGGGCTAGGGGATTGTCGCAGGGATTGGGGAGACTGGGTCCTCTCCAGCAAAAGCAGTAACCAGGGACCTTAGGCCCCCTTCCTGGGGCCCCATTGCTGGAAGACCTTCCTCCCACCAGCCCCACCTTGGGCATCCCAATCCCCTTCCTCTCTGGAACCTTCAACCCCACACAGCACATGTGAGAATGCCCAGGGAGCGTGAGGAGTGTGGGATCCCAGAAGCAAAGCTGGGAGTGCTGGGAGTGCTCCCCAGGGAAGGCTGTTTCAGGCAGTCTGGGTCCCAGCACCTGGCTGAGAAGCCCTGGGTACAAGTGCCCCGCAGAGGCCAAACACAAAGCGTGATCTGGGTTCCTTCTCCAGATGGAAGCTCTTGTTCCCGTTGGCCTGACTCCTGGCACCAGCTCTCGGCAATGCCTCATCTCATCCATCTGTGCCCTCCTCCCCTCCGGGCACCAACACCCTGGCTGCTGAGATCCAATCGGAGTGATGGACGAGGTAGTGCACTCCTCAAGGGACCCTGCAGTTCCTCCCCCTGAGCTATTCCTGGCCGAGGCATCTCCCTGCCCCCCAGTCCCCCTGCCTGACCTGACCCCACAGCTGGGAATCATCCTTTGGCTGGGGGTGGGGCAGCCCCTGACTATATAAGCCTGGACCTAGGTGTCCCAGGCACCCTGGAGGCCCAGACCCTCTCCTGCTGACCCCTGCACACTCCAGCCTGACCACCCCCAGCCAGCCCAGCAATGACAGAGAGAGCCGCCTCGGAGGCCCCTGCCTGTGGTCCGGAGGAGACCGCCTCTGAGCCGGCCAAGGCACCCACCACCGAGCCCTCTGGAGAAGTGGCAGCATTGGCGTCCACCGGGGAAGAGCGGGCTCCCACGCCACAGGAGCCTGCCCCCACAGCCCCTGCGGCCCCCGCAGCCACTAAACCTGCCCCTGCAAGTGAAGGTGACAAGAGGTGGGGCAGGGAGTGCGGGCGGGGGAGAGTTCTCCACCACAGACCTCTTCATCTCCCCCTACTTCTCCCCCAGATGTGCCCAGTGCCCCGCTGCAGCTGACCTTGGAGGATGTGAGCGACAGCTCGGTGACCGTGAGCTGGGAGCCACCGGAGAGGCTAGGGAGGCTGGGGCTCCAGGGCTATGTGCTGGAGCTCTGCAGAGAAGGAGGTGAGCTCTGGGCTAGCCCTGCGTACCCCCAGGGGAGGTGGGCTTGGGAGTCGCAGCGACAAGCCCCCAGACCCTGCAGCTGGGCCAGTCTCGGGGGAGATACAGAAGAAGAAAGTGCAAGTGGTCCCCTCAACCCACTCACCTAACACTTCTTGCTCACCCCATGGACCTCTGAGGCAGGGGGATGTCCAAATAACCTCAGGAGACACCCCCCTACCCCATCCTCCAGCTCCAGGGAGCCTCTGAGTAACAGGGAGAGAGGGGTCGGGGCCGCTGGGGTGCTGGTCTGATAGGAAGTGAAGGAGATGCTGAGTCTCAGAGGAGCCTGCTTGGTGAGGGCAAGCAGGGGGGGGACAGAGAAACCGGGAGCAGGGGCACTTAAGAATAGGAGACAGTGAAGAGAAACAGGGGACCAGGGCAATGGCCCAATTCCTGTTGCCTCTGTCCTGTTCACCTCCATGGTGGCCAAGTTCAGCCTGGCCTCTGCCTTTGTCCTTACCTTGCTGCATGACTTGGCAGATGTGTCCAGCCCTCTCTGGGCTTTAGTGATACCTTCTCTGACCACCATTTCAGGGCTCTAACACCGGGTGTCTTTGATGCCATTTGACAAGAAGCCAGGGAAGGAGAGCAAGGGGAAAATAAGGCCCGGGGTGGGAGGTCCATTGCCCCAGATCCCCAGGGAGGAGGAAAGCCCCACTGAGAAGGATGCCCACGGCCGTGAAGCCGGGGCCTTGCATGCTGTCCGTTTCCCCAGGCTCGGAGTGGGTGCCCGTGAACGCCCGGCCCCTGATGGTGACCCAGCTGACCATGCGGAACCTGGCTCTGGAGGACAAGTTCTTCCTGCGTGTGGCTGCAGTGAGCTCTGCGGGGGCTGGCCCACCAGCTGTGTTACAACAGCCTGTCCACATCCAGAAGATCATCGGTAAAGCCCGTCCTTTTATCTCCTGCTCCCAGCCCTCCCCAGGCCCCTTATGTGATAGGTAGGGAAACTTGAGGCTGATGGGCAGAGGCAACAAGACAATCATCTTCCCCCATCCCACCCTCACATGCACAAGCCACATGCTATCACCATCTTGCCTTAAGAAAGTTCCAGGTTCCTCAGCAGCAAGCCTCTGGAGGTCAAAGAGGCCATTTCCCTGAGTGGCCCAGCCCCCAAGCATTGGGGGAG